ACACACACAGCCTCTCTGGGTCGATGCTGTAGTGCTCTAGAACCTGTGAGGACAGGAAGGCCCGTGACGCCGCTAACGCATCATGGTACTGATCTGGGAACACCACCTCTGGAACAAGACGGTAACTATGGCAACAGGTATCATAGGAAGATGACATTATTGTATTACATAATAAAATTCGAAAGGCAATATTACTTTTTTTGCAAAAGGTAAATTTGACATCCTTTTCACCTATAATGTATTTGTATTTAATTTTATTGACTTATTTTCATATTTTTATTACAAGATCCACTTAACTCGGTTTTTTTTTTTTTAAACAGAGATCTCAGTCACATCTCATGGTCTTCATCAGCTGAACAACTTCCATTCGTATTCCAAAAGCAACAATGAACATTCAAGCTCAACAGGTTTACGCCTGTTTTTTTAAACACTGATAAATAAATGTATATAATATAATATGACAGATTAGGTTCATAGAACAGTGAAATGAATAAAACTTTACTACAAATCTAGATGCAACTTGAAAGTTTTCTCCACTTTGCACAGAACAAGAAAGAACAATGAGTTCTTGTCTTTTAGAAACTATATTATTCTGCATTTCTTTATTCTAAATTAATTAGTTTGTTGTAATGTGATAGATGCACAAAACTTACTCAACAGACATGATGACAGCGTCGAGATCCTTTGCCATTTTCCGACAGAGGCGGTCATAGGATCGCATCCCTGTAAAGCAGGTAAACTCAGTCAGCGACAGTGAGTCGCGTGTTTAGTCATGTAAATATTGTCTTCCATATTTGTTGTTTACAGTGCTGAAATTTAGCGGTTGTCTCTTGTCAGGCTATTTTACTCACTTTTTAAATTGAAATTTTCTGTTATAATGTCTCAGAGAAATTGAAGAACTTTTGTCAACAAACCTGTGGGGTGTGACGGCATATTCAGTTGCAATATCCTTTACTTAAATACCAGTGGTGGAAGGAGTACTCAGATGTTTTATTTAGGTAACAATGTAAAAATACTCTGTTACAAGTAAAAGTCCTGCATTCAAAATGTTATTTAGGTAAAAATACAAAAGTTTTAGCATGAAAACATCAACAATCCTACTTTTCTCCAGTTTAAACCTTAACACTCACGTCCACTGCCAAGGGCCCATCCTCCACCGTGGAAGTAAATTATTCCTCTTTTGAGCTTCCTCCCTCCCTTTGGCTGGAAGACTCGGGTGGGCACTCCGCCCAGAACAGAGTCAGTCACGTGCACAGTGGAGCAGGAGTGAGCCTCAATCACATCTGCCCAGGACACCAACTGGTTCAGCAGGGAGGCACGGTGAGACAGACCCAGTGCATGAGCCATGTCACTCTGGTGATACAAGCGCATCGTTATGCTGTTAGTCCAAACCTGAAAAATTATATTTGGGACATGCAGCATGGGACTTTTATCCTTTGACTCAAACTTTATGTTAATAGGTGATGTGGTCCCATATTGGGTGTGAAATCTTGGGGAGGTGCAGTGGGTAGAGCAGTCGTCTCCCCACCGGAAGGTTGAAGGTTTGAATCTTGGTGCCTGCAGTTGAAGTGTCCTTGGGCAAGACAGTGAGCCCCCGTTGCCCCCGATGGTTAAGCCATCGGTTGAGCTGGCACAGCAGATGGCTGCCTTGATTCTGTACTGGAAACAAATTCCTTGTGTGTAAGATACTTGGCCAATAAAGGTGATTATCCTTATCTGGCTGACTGCAGAAAGAACAGTGCACTAACAAAAGGAAGCAGCCGGAGAACTTGGCTGGGCGCAAACACAGTGTCCCTAAAACTTGTTATACTGCTTTAATTTGGGTGTGTGATGGGTGACAAAGTAAAGGACAATCCTCAGTCCTGCTATTATGCATGTCATTACCAACGCCCCTGGTGATGCTGTTATTTGCACTGTCACTGTTTTGAATTATTTTTTCATAGCCTATTAGGTTGTACCATTTAGTTTATCCTAATTACTTTAAGTTTTCATATTCTATTTATTCCGTGGTATGGGCATTCACTATTAGGTGAGAGAGAAACAGTATTTCGATTTTTGTGTAGGTCATGCACATATAGTGAATTGACAATAAAAAAATCTTTGATCTTGAATATATGAGTAGAAATAAAAATGGAGGGGTCACTGATTAATCTTTAGATTATTTTACTGATTATTTAAGTAGTATTTCTTGTCTTCTTGGTGAAATGTGCATAAATTGATTGCAGAGATAAGTGTCATCCTGGAAACTATAGATAAGATGCTAACTGCATGTCTACTTTCAGAAACGCCTGAAAATACCAACACACACACACACACACACACACACGCTGCTTTTTATTCGAACATTCTAGAAGATTTGCATGAACCTTGTATGAACCTTGTGTCCAATTCATGTAGTGAGTGTTGAGTCAACAGATTAGAAGATAATATGAGTTTCCACTCATGTACAGGGCAGTCCCAGCCCGAGAAGATATATGTGAAGTACTTCCTATTATCAGAGCTCTTGGAGACTTGTCATCTCTCAGAGCCCAGCGCTGTAATAACGCTGCATCTAACCAGAAGAAAATAAATCTACGTAAAGCTGATTCCTGTTTCCTGAGTGTTACTTCTTGGGGCCTTCAGATAAAAGAACCGGTTAAAGTTAAAAGTATGGGCATTCACTATTAGGTGAGAGAAAAACAGTATTTCTGTAGGCCTTCACTGTACTAGCCAATAGCTAATGTTAGCGATTAGAAAGGTTATGTTGGTTGGTCAATGTAAAACAAGCCTCTGGACGCAGTTAACGTTGTTGCTTTGGTTTAGCTGACCAGCTCCCATTAAATATCTACACTGCTTGATCACCTTGATCCCACTGCCCTAAATTAATATAGGAATAATACAAAATGAAGTGTCATGCTTAAACAGCATTTTAGTTTTTTGTCATATTTTGCAGTTTTGTGCTGCTGCTTGTTGTTTTAGTACAGCCACTATTGCTGCACATGTTCCAACAAAACAAGCACCAATAGGCCTGAAGACTATGCAGTATATTATTTAAAAAAAAAATCCACCACGTTCATCTTTCTATGAGTGACAGTATGTTTCAGTATTTTTTAGGCAGTGGATGGTATACATTTTTATGTTATGCTTTAAACCTATACCTTTAAGGGATCTTTTAGAGTCTCATCCACTGAATAAATATATCCATAATACATTGTGGAGTGAATTAAAACTAAGGTTTCATTTGTTCACTTACCACTGTATTTGCATTAAACATCTGAATGAGATCAGACCCGACACAGGTTAGACAACTTCTGGATCTCACTCAGCTCAGTTTGTTTCATCCATTTCAGCACATGTATAAAACACATTTAACAATAAGAAGATATACAAGTCAGTAAGAGTAGGAAGGCAACAATAAAATAAATTAGATAACTGTGCATATTGCTGACAGGGCTTTTTTTGTTTTTTGCAGGTGCTCATGCTACATCAATCACTTAAAACGCGAGATGTTTTATTGAACTAAATGGTATGCACGAGTAACAGCTGGGGCCACTGCATCAAAATGTAATGAGTGCATAAATAAAGACAGAGATGATGATGACAAATACAGAGGACTGCTGGGATATTACACCTCTCCAAGGTAGCATGGCTGGATAGTAACTAACTCTGCCAATGGTTATCTATTGTGATTATGTAGGAGAAGAGTTAAGCATCCGGTTCTCAAATCATATTTGACGTCATCAGCGACATGGCTTTGATTTCCGTGACGTCACCACGTCTCGCGCAGCAGCTCACCTAAGAACTGCAGCTTCACAGGCAATCAGACCACTTCTGAACTTCAGTAGAGGTACCACGCTAGTGAGCAAGAGAGTTAATACTCGACAAACAAACGTTTAACAACATCTATTCAGTGAAATACTTCGTATTCACGTAAAAAGTGATTCTTCCAGTTAAAAAAATGGCAAGTTCTAGTGACAGACCCCAAAACTGTAGAAACAACAGACAAACAGCTCCCAAGAACAAGAACATGAACTGCGAAGCCCTTCATGAGGAAATCGGGAGGCTCCAGGGGATGCTGAGCAGGGGCAGAGAGAGTTTTAACTACGAACAGAACTGGAGGATCCAACTTAGCCAAGAGCTAAGCCAGACAAAGGAACAGCTGGCTTACCAGAAAGCCAAGACTGAATCCTTTATCAACAAGGAGAAAGAAACTAGAAAGGAGCTTGAAAGGCTGAGGCAGTACAGTGACGCTGAAGCTCTCAGCGCCTCAAACATTGCCACTCAGGTGGGCAATGACATCAAGAGGAAGAAGAAGAAAGATCTTCAGAGAGATTACGAGGAGCTGAAAGTGGCATA